CAGGGAGCCCGATGCGGGACTCAATCCCGGGACTCCAGGATCATGACCTGAGCCGAAGGCAGTCGCTTAACCAACTGAGCCACCCAGGTGCCCTGGCTGGATTTTTCAATATCTCAACTATAAAAGTGTCCACAGCACAGGTCCCTAGGGGTGATTTCCACTGCCACGTATTTAATTAAGATTGTATTGTTATTAGCACCTCAATATTTTTCAGAGAAAAGAACAGCAGATCTCACTGAAAAGTTATCTAAGGTGAACAGTGAAATGATTTGAGGAAAGACATACTGAAAGCCATTTGCAATGAAAATAAGCCCCCAAAGGGGTAGGGAGATCCTTTTAAAAGCACCCAAAAAATGATTAAAAGGCAGTGGAGGGATTTCTCCCACAGGCAGTAATCGACTGCTGAGATCTGTTGTCAGCAACAGCAGGGGCTTTCTGTCTCAGTGGATACCCCCCCACACACAGGTACCACACTGGTTCTGAGAGGGTAGAGAGCCTTGTCCAAGCATCACAGCCTTGTCCAAGCATCACAGCTAGTCAGTGAGTGGCAGAGCTTAGACAGAACCAGGTCTCTTAAACCCAGGTTTGGGGCATATTTGGTTTCCTGTAGTTCTTCAATTCAAACTTGAAACTCCCTTGTAAAAGGGAATTCAAAGGTACATGTAGAGAGATATTCTGGTCTTTAGAAAGCCCTAGACAAGAAACGTGTATTTTCAGGGAGCCAGCTGGGGTCCCTTTTAAAGCATGAGTCACTCTGCTTGGTGGTATTTGAACTGAAGGGTAAATGGTTTTAAACTGAAGGCATCACATTTGCATGGTAAAGGGCCGCGAATCTGGATCCAGCACAGCATCGGGCACATAAAACACACTGGATTTAAAAAAACTTGTAAACAAAACATTGTGATTAACATTATCATTTCTGTTCCAAGATGATGCAACTGCACACACGCATAACTTTGGAGACCCAAATCAGAACTTCTAAGATTTCAGTCAACAAAGAAGATCAATAGAGATATAAGTTTATACTCCCAAATGTTGGATAAGGAACAAAAATACAAACAATGCTTACAAACATCTTACAGAGAGGAAGGAAATGGCAGGTTAAGTATACATAAATCAAAGGGAAATAAAAAGCTGCCATTGGGGCTTTTAATCTTCTGGTTGTGCAATTCACTTCAGCTTGGTCAGAGCAACCCTCGTGCTACTCCCACTAGCTGAAAAATTTCTGTTTAGCTAAACTCAGAATATCCAAGAGCCTGATTAGACTCTTCCAAGTACATAAATTAACACTGGCAATGCTACAAAAATAAAGCACCACCCACCCACTCGTGCATGCACCCATCTTTTCAGCTATTACCCCAAGTCCAAACAGCCCAATCTTCACCATTACCAGAACCACAAATATTGCCTGGAATGACAGGTTTTATGACCAATCTTTCACTTCTTTCATGAAGAATTTTCTCAGAAGTAATTTAAATCAAATGTGTACAGTTTTATCAAATTCACTATTTTTATGGTTCATCTGCCCAGGTGATTTTAACATTTTAGGGTAGCACAGGGTTGCTCCTGTACTAGGTTGATGAAACCCCGAACTGGGGTTCTGACTGAACTTCAAGTCTAAGATCCTTCCATTGTATCACAGATGATGGTCAGGGCAGTTAAGCCAGCCTTCCTCCATACCTGGTCGCAGACCAACCCTGATACCTCGGGCAATGATCCTGCAGAGATGAGCCCAAGAGAATGGCTGTATCCAATCAAGCCATCCTCACTACTGGAAAAGCAAAGCAAGGAGCAGATCCCACTGCTGGGGGGGACATGACTTTTATATCCTGAAAACAGCACTCTGGTCCACCAACTCTGGAGATAGGCTCCTCCTCACTCTGAATTGCATCAATTTCAGGGCCCATGGGCTGCTCAATGTAGCCACTGCTCTTGGCTGCATAGAAGGTTATTTTGGTATAATGGAAAGAGTACACCCAACATTCTTGACAGCCCTATACTCTTGGGTTCATATGCTAGCTCTATAACTGACTCGCTCTCTGAACCTCAATTTCCTCAACAGGAAAGTGGGGGTGATAACACCTCCTCTCCGAGTCGTTGTAAGTAAGATGGCCAGTTCAGTGTTGGGCAAATAGTCAAAGCTCAACAAACGTTGGTGTACTTTCTACTAGCATCTCTGCTCAGAGTACTTTCTTGTTTGTTCTCTGTATTCCCGGGTCAAAATCTACTTCTTATAAACCCCTGGAATAGCCTAACCAAGTACCAAGTATGACCCTACTACTGTCAAAATCATGTGTAGTGGGGGACAGGGCAGGGGTTCTGATAATGTTTAAAATCCCAAATTTAATCCTGGTACTCAAAGTGTGATCTACAGACCAGCAGCATCAGCATTACCTGGAAGTCTGTCTGAAAGGCAGACCCTCAGGCTCCATTCCACACTTACTGAATCCAAATTTATGAGATTCCCCAAGTGATAGGTTTACCTCTTAAAGTCTGAGAAACACTGTTCTATACCACAAATGGACATTCAATAAACAGAGCCTACTGACACTCTAAGGAATCAATTGTGGCACTTGGGCTGTTGGTAGCATTCTATGAATGCTTATTCAGATAGAAAGCAACTACTGACCAAGGCATTTTCCCTGGGAGGACAGTGTAATGTACCCTTTGCGCCTTTTGAGTTAAAAAAACAACAACAACCAAAAAAACCAATACACTAAGGACACTGGCTTTATGGCAATATTTAAATCTTCTCCATTAATGCAATCTTTGTTATATAATAAGTGCTCTGAATATAATTAATAATATGAGCATTCTGATTATATGTAGACTCTAAATAACAGGAAGGGTATTTTCAATGTAGTAATTTCTGGTTTCTAGGATGCAACACATAACAGATTGATTAGTAATAAGCTTCCACAAATGGAATGTTCTTAACACACGATGACAAAGTTCTAAAGCATGTCCTTCTGTGATTCTGAGCATGTGCCTTTCCTCCCCCACCCTATCAACCTTCTGAAACATTTTTCAGTTCTTTCCAGTTATAAGTGAAAGTACAATTTTTAAATGCTCCTGAAAGTAAAATTTACAACCCAAATTCCTAAAATGAATCACCAAATGCTGGATCCAGGAGACTGGTAACTTTGTGTATCAGGAAACAAAAACCCCATCTGAGTGAGTCATCTCTGTGATCGGAGATAACACAGCCACCGCCAGAGCTTGGTGCAAACAAATGGCTGCAGCAATCACAGGCCGGCATCTCGTGCTTCATGGTTTCTCACATTAAAATGCATCAGTCAGCTCTGTGAAACCAGGAAGTGGAACCCAGGACGCCACATAAATAACAAACACATTCTCTTGAGTTTGGTGTTAACGTTAACATCTTAACGCTCTGCTCTAAGTCTATCTCAATTTCTGGTACCTAAATTAAAATGAAAGTGCTGCTTTATCGAGACGTATGCAGAAAGGCAAAAGCTAACTAATATGACTGGGCTTCTGAAATGTTCCCTAAGAAAATTTTTAAGACTTTTTGGAGGCCTATTTATTGAGGACTTTGATCCGAAAATGAAAAAGGTGATCAGAAGGTGGCAAATACACCTCAAAAACTGTAACAGAGGAAGAGGCAATAGGCTCTAGAGCAGAAAAGCCTGTTACCATCTGATTCCATGTATAATTCCATGCTTTTTCTCAGGTGCTCCAGTCTTGAAAGAGAAGCTGAGTAGGAAGTGAACTTGTGCCACATATGGCCAGCTAGATGCTACCCCTTGCACCCACCAGCAAACTCCTCCAGAGAGAGGAGGCAAATGTCGTTCTCAGCGACATTTGGGGATATAATGCCAGGACCAAGCCTGCCTCATGCTGGCTAGGCTCAACACAGGGATAATGCAAATACCTAGGCTATGTTTTTCAAAAGCAGGCAGCTCCTATCAACACCACACATCCACTAGCAGGCAGAGTGCCAAGGGAACATTACTTAAACAGTGGCTGTGGCTATGGGCTTCTGCACCCACGACAGAAGCACTTTCCTCTGAAACACTGGAGACCAGTTGGGGGCAATGGCAATAGCCCCCAGGCCCCTGCTTTCACAGGACCCCTCTCAAAGTAAAGAAACAAGAAATAATAATAATAATAAAAAACCAACTACACTTTCTGAAATATGAACAAGTTAAAATACCCCATATTGCCCCCATGCCCACCCCATTATTTCCACGAAGCACACACTACCTCATAATGAACGGAATGAAAGGCGCCATGCTGAGAGCAGAAGAGGTGCCATCCATCGGGGAAGGGTAGAGTCTTCCCAACACCAAAAGTAAGAGAAACATGCTTGGATGACGGTTGAGTTCTCCTGTATCACTGAAAAACAAGTGATTGTACATAAAAGACTTAAAATTTAAGAGGTGAGACACTACCTTCAAACATTTCTCTCATTAAATGATTATGAATGTAAAGTGAGACTCTCTATGATCAGAAGATCATTTCCCTTTTTTCGTTTCTTTTCCCCCTCCATTCATTTCATATATTCCTAATGTGCAAATGAGGAAGAGCTACTGGCAAAGCCATGGATTGGGCTCCAGCACACGATTCTCTTCTCGAAGCTAATTGTTAATTCGTGTCTGTGTTTTGATTTGAGCTGTTCATACAGCAGAAAGGAGTTCCACAGTATGAAATGTGAAACTTTCAACAGCCAAATGTACTTATGAAAGCTTGAATGGTCACTTACTGGGGCCAGAAAAGCCTGTCTGTACAAATTACTAATGTGAGGAAATGTATCATAAACAGAAGTAAAATTGATTGATGTTATTTTACTTCCCCATTACAGATAATGAGTATAAATTCATATCAAGTGCAAATATGGCTAGAAGAATAAAAAAGCACATGTTCTAAGACACCATTCTAAAAATTCCACTGTCAGTAGAGGATGTGATTGAAAGGACAATGATAAACTTTTCTATGTGCCCTGATCAGACGGGAAGTCCTCTGAACGGCTTTATTTTCTGTTTCTAGGGTTAGGCATGCCAGTGCCATTTCTGGTCACAGGTGACCAGACCAGCCAGCTATTTGCTTACTCTCACAATGGTCAACTGCAACAGGCCAGTAAGAAAAAATGGCTTGTGTTTGTGACAGCAAACTCAGTATGCAAACACAGAGATTTTTAAATATCATGGGAAGAAAATCTTTTTAGAAGCTGTGTTTCTAAGAAGCTAGTTTCTGAAATATGTTCACTGAAAACAGAATTTGAAAAAACAGTATAAAACAGGATTTTAAAAATATAAAATATATTATAAAAACAGGATATTAGGGGCACCTGGGCGGCTCAGTCAGTTAAGTGTCTGACTCTTGATTTCAGCTCAGGTCATGATCTCAGAGTCGTAAGCACCCCGTGGCTGGCTCTGTGCTGGGCTTGGAGCCTGCTTAAGATTCTCTCTCTCCCTCTCACTCCCCCCAATTTTAAACAAAAACAAAACAGGATTTTATACAACTTTTCAGGTACAAATCTACTGCAGAGTCAGGCAACAGGATGTAATAAAGAAGCACTTAAAAAAAATCCATCTAAGTTACAAGAAAGGAGTTGATTAAAAACTGTTGCCTGGAGGGAAAAATCTCGATTAATGAAGTAATTTACTTCCTTGATTTCACTGTGTCCTACCCTATTCTCTTCTTACCTGTCCACAGTATTAGCTACAGCTTCCAACTGTTGGAGAAGAAAGGGATAGAGTTCCGGGAAACGAGAAAAGAATTCACTTCCTGTCATTCTGTAAAGGGAAGAAAAAGAAATTACTATCTTTTATTTCCTCTGATCTAATAATAAAGCCTTTTTATTTTATTTTATTTTATTTAAAGGAAGAGAGCCAAGGTCATTCACTTGAATATTTAATGAAAAAAAGTTAAGAACAAACCTCATCTTAAAAATTTAACAATCAAAACAAAACATTTAATTTTGATTTTGGAAGTGCTCTTGACACATGGAATTTTATCTCAAAATTTAAGATTATGTATATTTACAAATATTTGATGTTAAATTCTATTGGGGAAGAAATTGCAAATGCCAAGTTTCGACAATTGATTTGGACCATGAATATAATCAACATCTGGCTGGCTAAGGCTGACAGCTTCTGTAACAAGGGCAGGTCTAGAACAGGTTTCTCCAAGCTAGCACCAATGATATTTTGGACCAGACAATTTTATGTTGTGGGGGACTGTCATGTGACTGTAGGATATTTAGCAGCCTCTGTTGCTTCTACCCATCAAATGCCAGTAATACCCCTCCCCCCTTCAAGTCATGACAATCAAAAATGTCTCTGGAAAAAACAATGTCTCTGGACATTGCCAAATGTATCCCGAGGAGTAAAATGGTCCCCAGTTGAAAACCACTGGTCTGGAGTATGGTTATCAGAGGCACAGATTTTGTGCGTACGGTTCTGGACATCCAATCTCAGCTGACACCTGTGAGGATTAACTTTCCATCTTTATAAACACTACTCTTGAATTCTGACAAGATCCATTCAGTTTTCACAAATGCTTATACTCATGTGATCCACTCCTATGAAGACTCAGAAAATTTCCATCATCCCAGAAAGTTTCCTTGTGCCCCTTCCTGGTCAACTCTCAATACTCAGAGCAACCACTGAGTTTATTTCTCTTACAATTTGGTTTTGTCTATTCTAGAATTTCATATAAATGTAATAATACCTTACATAATTTTTTGCGTCTGGCTTTTTTCACTCAGCATAGTTTATCCATGTTACTTTATGTATCAATAGTTTGATTCTTTTTTTGTTGAGTAGTATTCCATTTTGTGAATATACAAGTTTGTTTATCCATTCTCCTCTTGACAGATATGGGCTGTATCCATTTGTAGGTTGTTATGAATAAAGCTCCTAGAAACATTCTTACACAAGGTTTTTGTGTACATGTTTTCATTTCTCTTGAATAAGTATCCGAGAATAAAATTTCAGTATGTTTAACATTTTAGGAAACTGACAGTTTCCCAAAATAATTAGAGCATTTTATACTCCCACCAACAATAAACTAGAGTTCTAGTGGCTCTGTGTCCTATCCAACATTTGCTGTTATCTTTCTCTTTATCTACTTTAGCCATCCTAGTGGTAGATCCCTGTGGTTTTGATTTGCATTTCCTTGATGACTAATGATGATAGTAAACACTCTTTTTGTGCTTTGGTTATTGATATGGCCTTTTGTGAAGTATCAATTCAAAATATTTGCCTGTTTTCACATTAGGTTGCTTGCTTCCTTTGCCAAATGTGTGCATTACATGTACCTTCTTAGTCTGGCTTGACAATTTATTTTCCTAATAATGTCTTCTGATGAGCAGAAGTTTTCAGTCCAATAACTGGGTCCTTTTTTTTTTTTTTTAATGATTCATGTTTTCTGTGGCTTAAGAAATCTTTGCCTACCCCAACATCACAAAGATATTCTGTTTCCTTCTAGGAGTTTTACAGTTCCAGCTTTTATCGTGAGGTCGATGATCCATCTCAAATTAATTTTTGTGTACGGTGTGAGGTAGAGGCAAAGGTTCTCTTTTTCTTTTAAAAATTTATTATTGTTTTTTTAATTGAAGTATAGTTGACATATGATGTTGCATTAGTTTCAGGTGCAAGATTCTTTTTCTTCTACATTGGTGTATCATACTTCTTATAGGGAGATGCCGTAAGAAAAGATAGGCCTTAAATAGGAGAGATGTGCCAGGTTCATGGATAAGAAGATTCAATATTATAAAGAGGAAATTCTCACCAAATACAATGCAATTCCAGTAAAAATGATAATTTATATATTCAACTACATCAATTAATATTTAAAAAAAATTTTTACACACACAAAAAAAGCACAAATAAAACCACAAAATAATACACGTACGAAGTATTTTTGGCAGAGGAGGAGTATCAAACATTATGAAATAAAAGAGACTAAGAGACTTAGCAGACTTATGAGGCCAAAAAAGACTAAACACATGTGGACCTTGTTTGGATCCTGATTCTAAGAAGCCAATTATAAAAAGACATTTCTAAGACAATTGAGAAAAGTTGAAGGTTAAAGAATTATTAACTTTGTTACACATGATAATAGCATGATGTATGTTTTTAAACTCTCTTATCAAATCAGTCATGCATCCTGAAGTATTTATGGGAAAAATGACATGATACCTGTGACCTCGGTAGGACAAGAAATGGACAAAATACGATTGGCAAAATGTTGGTAATTCTTGAAGTTGAGTGATGGATATGCAGGGGTTAGTTATACTATTCTCTTCATTCTTACATATGTTAAAAATTCCCATAACAAAAAGGTTTTAAAATGATGGAGGTAAACGTTTTTATTTGCCAAGCCACAAATGGGGAGAAAATGTGTAATGCGTATAACTGAGAATTACATAATTAGTATGAGAATATATGAAGACCTCCAGTGAAATCAATAAGTTAAAAGACAAACAACTGAATATAAAAATGGATAAAACCTAATAAAATATAATCCACAGAAAATAAACATTAGCGACCAATAAACATAAGATGCTCCATCGTACTGAGAGACTATTTTATATTAACTGGCAAAGATTGAAAAGTCTGATAATACCAAGTATTGGAACTCTTAGACACTGTTGATGGAAACAAAAATTACTATAACAATTTTAAAAATAATTTGGCATTTTCTTGAAAGCCACAGATGTGTTTAGCCAGTGATTCACAAATGCTATTTCGAGGTAAATGGCCTAATAAATTCTTGGACATGGGCACCAGAAGGCTTGTACGAGCATATGCACAGCAGCCGTATGTCCATCAAGAGCAGAGTGAATCGGGCGCCTGGGTGGCTCAGTTGGTTAAGCGACTGCCTTCGGCTCAGGTCATGATCCTGGAGTCCCTGGACCGAGTCCCGCATTGGGCTCCTTGCTTGGCAGGGAGTCTGCTTCTCCCTCTGACCGTCCCCCCTCTCATGTGCTCTCTCTCATTCTCTCTCTCAAATAAATAAATAAAATCTTAAAAAAAAAAAAGAGCAGAGTGAATCAACTGTACACTCACACAAGGGAATACTGTAGAGCAGTAAACCTGAATGAACTACAGATATATCAAAACAGATTTATCTCAGGAACATAATGTTAAGTGAAAAAAGTGAGTTAAAGAAGAATACATGTAATATAATCCTTCTATCCAAAGTTTACAATAAAGCACCACTAAGTAATACTTCGCTTAGAGAAACAAATGTAAGTGATAAAAAAATGAAAAGCAAAGGAATAAATAAAAACAAAATTGGCAAAAGTAATCAATCACTTCTCCAGGGGGAAAAGAAAGGAGATGGGATTAGGAAGGAATATATAAGGGGCTTCAAAAGAAATGTTCTGTTACTTAACCAGGTGGTGGATCTAGAAGTGTTTGTTACATAGTTACTCTTTATACCTTACACACAGTATGTAAATTTTCTTTTGTACCTGTTTCACATTCAGTAAAACCAATTTTTTTTAAAGAGAAAGTCTTTACTTCCTTTTAAGTTACAGATCTATTGAACATTTATTGGACATTTATGCAAAAATGTGCTCATTTCCTTTTTTAATTAGTAGATATTTTTGTGGAAAAAATAACAAATGCTAGTGTTAAAAAAAGCCCACATACTAGATTTCCCAGTGCCCCTCCACACAGACAACTATGCAAAAGGATCTCAGCTTTCCTTTTAAAAAATTTGTTTAGGGCGCCTGGGTGGCTCAGTTTGTTAAGCGACTGCCTTCGGCTCAGGTCATGATCCTGGAGTCCCGGGATCGAGTCCCGCATCAGGCTCCCTGCTCGGCAGGGAGTCTGCTTCTCCCTCTGACCCTCCTCCCTCTCATGCTCTCTGTCTCTCATTCTGTCTCAAATAAATAAATAAAATCTTAAAAAAAAAATTTGTTTATACAAGTACATACTTTTAGTTTAGCTCCTTTTCCCCACAAATATGCATATTATACATACGGTTGTGCCCCTTGATTTTATTTTTCATTTGAACTATATCTGAGAAATCATTCAATATCAGGCACACCATTCTATTTCTTTCCACTTAATGGCTGCAGAGTAATCCATTGCATGTTGACTGTAATTGATTTAATCCCAAACGATAGGCCTTTTGGTCCTTACCTTACTGTTAGAAACAATGATATGTAAATTTCCTTGTTAATAAATAGCAAACCTAGGTTTTGCAGGTTCAGTGCTTTACACAGGGAGACCACAAAACCATTCCACTACAGGCCATTGTTACATTCTTTAGTATCGCTAAGCAAAACTGGTCAAGAACATCAGTTTCCATTTTTAGTGGAGTCACTTAAAACTGTATATGAATTTAATACTGAAATCCCTGTGTATACTTGCCCATATAGAATCTCTCCATCTACACCACAAAACTTGGTAAACAGTATTTCCAGGGGAGTAAGTCACTCCTCAATGGTCCAATATCTCTTGGTGGTGTCAAGAGAGAGAAGTATTCTGTGTAAGCAGACCATATGATTGCATTACCATGATCTAGAAATTGCCTGGATAAATAACGGGCTCTGCTGACCACAAATACTGCCAGAGGAAAGGGCTGTGGAGCTACTATTCTCAAATTAAAGTCATTGTCTTAATTGAATTAAAACTACTTGTCCCAAACAGCAAGTTACCTCATTCAGTCTACCTTACCAGATATTTACCAACTAGTTTATGTTGCAGAATATATGAAGAAGGTACGTTACTCAAAGTTAAACATTTGGTGAATGTTTTAAGTAATTGTTTTGTTCTTA